GCGCACCGCAAACCTTTATTCCCCCACCTGAAAGGCGAGTGCGTCCGACCTTCTGCTACTGCCAAGGGTCCTTCTGTCGCAAGGATTCCGCAGCTGGTAGTTTGCTCTCGCGCTTCCATCGCTTGGCAGCCCGGCACTCACGGATGTCCTCATACAGGTCGAGGCCCTCGCCCAGCATCTCACGCAGAACAATTCCCTCGAAATCCTGCAGGTTGAAGCGCCTCCGCCGGCTCTCAGAAAAACCCGCAAAGTCTCCATTCGTGAGCGCATCCGCTTCTCGGTTTTGTAGACGCGGCAGCCAATCTAGGTGCAGCTCCGTGCCCAGGCGTTGCAGCTGTGTCGCAAGCTCCATGAGAAAGGCACATAGTGGAAAGCTGGTGGTCAACAACCGCGCCACAACGTGTGTGTTGCCCAGGTTGTCTGTGCCTGCCGAGCAGCGAATGCGCCCGACGTCGCCCTTTGGCACTCCGAAGAGCACCACAGCAGCAAGCGTCGCGAGCAACTCAAGCGATGCAATTTGGCGGTAGGACTCACCGCTCGCAAAGAGCCAAGGGGCGTTCTTATGCGTCAGCTTCTCGGAGAACCAACGACACTGAGTGGTGTCACGATGGTCCAAGGCCCACCCGCCGATCCACACCTCATTGCCCTCGGCACGCGCATCTGTTCTGAAAAGTTCCCTTTCTCCCATGCACGGCAGACCCGCAGACTCAAGACTCCTGAAAACAAGCTCACGCCCAGCCTCGATGACTTCAGCAGAAAATGGACACGCAACTACTTTGCCCGCAGCCAGCTTGATGGCAAGCATGCGCACATCCAGAACACCATGCAGCAACTTCAGAAGGTCAGCGCCTACCTTTTCCGCGAAAGCTAGCGACGGGGTGTCCGCAGAGCTCCTCCTTGACGCAGGCGGCCATCTGCCAGGAGAACAGAGCCCAAAGCCATCAGTGAAGGGCCTGCGCTTGCCAAGAAGGTTTGACCACATTGCTGCTCCGTGTCCACGCAGTCCGTGCTCTAAGACAGCTGGATCTTTGGCTTTGGCATAGCAAGGTGCATGCGTGCCATCGTCCACCTCCAGCGGACGAGCTTCCAGTTCTGCGCTGGCCGGAGCCGGAAGATGAGCCCCCCCGTAGGCGAGGTCCGGCCAGCTTCAGACCCTAGTCACTCTGCAGTCAGCGCAGGCGCTGCAGGCGCCATCGCAGCATCACGCTTCACATAGGGACATGCGCTGTAGGAGTGGGGCTGCAGACACCGCTGGCAGAAATGCGAGAACTTGCAATCTTTGTGGGGGCAACCGGCCTTCTTTTGGAATCGGAAGCAGAGGAGCTTCCCATCAGGGCCCCACTTGTGCTTCGCGATGGTCTTCATAACTTTTCCCTTGCCATCGCCCTTCTTGTCGAGGCCTTTTCCCGCACCCTTCCAGCCGGCCCCAGCCTCGACATGCCCAGCGCCACCTGGGCTGGCAGCACAACCACCAAGAGAGAAAGGGGTCACGAAGTGGAAGGCGAAGAGGTCCGGAGCTGCACAAGCTGCCTTCAGAGCAGCGCCAAGATCGCCCACTGCGCCATCACGAACAGACTGATATGCTCGTTTGCGCAGCTCTGATTCAAACTTCAGAATCAAACTCCACTTAGGAACACGACCATCCTCCGCCTTTAACCCTGCAACCTTATCTCCAAGCACGAAATCAGACAATCTACGAAAGGCATCCACGATGCTTTCAGGCAACCAAGAGCGAGTCGTGTGCTTGGATCGGATCATGTGCCAAGCAAGCCCCAGACGACGATGACGAAGGCGCAGCTCTTCCGGGGTGGTTGGCGGCACTGTCATGGTGCGCCCCGGTTTTATCCGCAGACACGAAGAAGCTGGGTCAATTACGGCAGCATAGGCTTCAGTCTCAGCATCTTCTAAGCTAGTTGCATCTCGAAGATCTTCAACGACTGGATTGTTCTCCTCAACCTGCTCGAGCTTCTGAGCCAACAAAGACTTGCTGGGCAACTCCTTGTCGGACAAGGTGCCATGGTAGTCTTCCACAGCACGGCGCATGGCTGCGTACTCCGATGTTTGCACCACTCTGTCCTGCACCCCAAGTTTGGACTCCGCGCGGTTCTTCTCCGTCACACTCAACTGTCGCCGGCACGCGTCCCAGACAGAGAGGAGCAAGGCCATGTGCACACGCGACTCTGCATTTTCCGTGTAATGCAAGGGCAGTTCTTTGGCCAAAGCTTGACGGACCTCTGGACGAGTATCATCCACGCCCGCGAAGACATGCACTGAAGTAAAGCCCTTGCGATACACCAGGAGCTGAACGGAAATTGGCACACCCACGTCGTCCATGAGGAACTTCAGGTCCGAGTCGGCTTTCACCATCATCGCTGCATCTGTAGTAGAGTCTGCCATGAATGACCACGAACAGATTGTACCTGCAGGGGGTAAACTCAGAAGAAGGGAAGTGGGAGCAAGGAAATTTGCCCGCACAACCCGGCCGGCATATCAGTAAACGGGCCCGTCCGGGCCCCAAACACACAGCCAACTGGAAACCAGTTGACAGAGTACTTACTGCAGCAGAACAGCCGCACCGGCCCTATACACCACGCCTGCAAACACAGCCTGCGCGCACAAGACAAGGGAGCTGCTAGCTACACGCCGGCAGAATGCAAGTGATTGAGCCAAAGGAAAATGACCATATGGCGCAAACGTCACTGAGCCTGGTGACAGTACGCTGCCCTAAAGCACTAGCGCAGCAAAGGACACGCCGAAAAAAAATCTACGGCAGTGACACGCCGCACACGTTTGCTCAACTGACAAGAAAGCCCAGTCCTCACACTGCCACAGCAGTCAGAGAGGCCGCTGTAGTGAGAACAAGTGTGAAACTTACGTACCTGGCAATCAGCAAGTCGTTGCGAAAGGCACGCTCAGTCTTCACTACTACTGCTGCCGCAAGAACTGCTGTCACAACCATGGCTGTCACTGGAAACAGCCCCATCTCCAGCATCCTCACCCGGATTCTCCCCGTTCCGCCAGCAATGCTTACAAGCGGAGTCGTAAACAGCATCCTGAAGCTCAAACACCGGTAGCATCTCGCGCAGATCCCTGGAGGCTGTGCCGCATCCTCCTTTGCGATGCAGCCGACGTAGGCGACCTTTACCTACAATGGCAGTGTAGAAAGGCGGTAGCTCCTCTGCTTGGGCCTGCAGAATTGCCGGCATAGGCGCTCTAGCAGCCACCTCAGGCGCGTCTGCCGCAGAAGCACTGTTGGGCCGCACATGCTGAGGTCCCAAGCAAACACGCAAGCATGACCGCAGTTGAAGAGCCTGTGACTGTGACTGGACAAGCCTTTCGCCACAACCACGCTCTCGCAAGAAAGAAGGTAGATCTTCCAGGCCCCCATTCAGCAAGTCCCAGCGTTCGTCCAAACAGACACCGCGTAAGGCCTCTTCTTGCAGGGATAGCACCACATGACGAGCAGTTCGAACATATTCATCTGACGCAGCCACTATGTGCCAGCGACCTACGTAATCGCGCTTATCGCGCGGCACACCTAGGCTGGCTAATACGGACACCAGCCAGTTGCGCTCTGAGTGCTCAGTCCAGAAACACAGAGCCGCCTCTGCCTCAATCAAAGGGAGCGAAGAAAGCTGCCAGGTGTGACCATCCCAAGCTGGTTTTCGCAACAACTTCAAGAATTGCTTCGACAAAGCCAGAGTCCTTGCGTATGTAGCCATTGAGCGCATAGCCGCTGAACCATCAGCGTTTGGCAACGGCAGAAAGTAATCTCTCTCAAACTGAAACTCAGCGGAACACCAAATGGACCAACCTTGCTGCAACCAGTCTGGATTCATGAAGAAGACCTTGCAGCTTATAAAAATTGGAAGGAACCGGATACGCTTGCCAGGTCCCCTAGTTTTCGTGCGATCCAGAACTCCAGATAACCCATGCGTCGACATCTTCAGAGAGGATGGGTCCAACCCCTCCAGGTCGCTTGCCCGACTAGCTGACCATAGACGCAAGAGTTTATAAAAAGCAAAAGCACGCATGTACAGGGGCAACGATGCGTCGGCTATTGCAAGCTCTGTCGCGCCGACGATAGACACCGGCATCATAGGAGCCTTGCGAGTGGGCGGTGCGTGGGCTTGTAACTCCGTCGTTATAACATTGACAGTGTTGCGTAAGATGGCCAGCTCTGACAGCTTGTCGGCCGCGGCAACTCCACCCGCCT